CATGCAGAAGAAAGCACGACAAAGCCAGTCATCAGCAAGAACGGAATGCAGCAAATCGCCCGCCGTTCCTGCTCCTAGACGCAACGATGGCTCGGTCAAGATTTGCTTGTGGTGCAGGAACGAACGAAACGTGGTGATTAACTGCACGCGTTGAAAGTGATCTAAAATTGATGTGTGTTCAGGTAAACAAAGTTCACCCGGACAGCACTGCCGAAAACAAGGGTCAGAAGTTTTGGCTTCAGTCAGAGACTAAACAGCATGAGAGTCGGCCATCGCCGGCTGCCCCACAGCCCAGTGTATGCTCCTTAAAACAAGGGTTTGATACGGTAGACTTAGAGACGAAGAAGATGTGCTTCTTGCAGTCGTTTGCGCTTTCGATCAGCAATTCTTACCACAGTCCGCAGCTGCTGAAACACGTGCTGCCTGAAACGTGTGTGACGGTTGAAATTAGGCAATCGACGAACCAATCTCGGGCCAAAACACACGAAACCGATGACAAAATGGTGAATGTCGTTAAGAACGGTCGAGTGTTTCAGCCGACCTTGTCCGCGATCCCTGAAACGCCGAGATCCCGCTCAGACACGAGGCATTTCGAAGCCCTTCAGACGAGCAGGAAACGTCCACCGACTGTCAAGAGTGACATTTTCAGCGTTACAACTCCCCGCTCCTATTGAGAAGACTACGAAAGTTATGCAAATGTGACTATGATTGAAGCTGTGCCAATAAAAACCGATTTCGAATAACGAAAGATTCTTCCTGGGTCTAATTTGGCGAGCATCTTGCATCGCCCCCTGTTTGTAGTTGCCTAAGGGGACAAAAAATTGACTTTCAGTTACGGTGTTGCGCAAGTGCAACTGCAGAGCTATTCTGACGTTGCAAACAGAATGATTTCTTTCAAGAGGTAAACGTATGAAGGTTTTACTGTGTTCGTTAATTGAATAATATTTCGAAGGTAGTTTGAACTGAAGGCGCTAGTACTGCATAAACGTTTGTGTTGACAGATTTTACATAATACATTTAATTCTGAATGTTGCCATCTCTCTTGCCATTTAAATATAATTTTTATTATTGCAGGTATTTTTGCTCACAATTTTGTTGAGCATGGACATTTCTGAACTCACACTGGTTTAATATTTCTACTGTGCATTATGAATTTAAGAAACACGCTTCGTTTTAACTCTACTGTAGCCTGCAGGGCAAATGTTATACGGCTTATGTCAAAAAGCAAGCTGTACTTCTCAGCTGGGTATTAAAAAGTAATTTTTGAAAATCACGCTTCCTGTTGGTCTATCAAATTCCAATCTTATGTGCTTCCTATTGCCTGCAATACGACAGGGAACAGTTTTAGCCGGAAGTATGCACAGCGGTAGCGGTTGGTGGGTCCATCGCCTTTTACCGCCTTCGATTGCAAACCAGTGTGTCTTTGCATGACGCTGCGTCCGTAGTCCTTGCAGCTGACGCAAGCCAACATTTGGTCAGCACATTGACATAGGAATCAGTACCTATTTGCGTTCAGCGCCCTCCGCATCACTGTCAAGTTAGTTGACCTTTGAAGTAGTCATAACCTCTGTACCTTTCAGCAATTCGTTGACGATACCTGCAAGCCATGAAAGGTGAGAGCAGAAGCCGAGATAAAATTAACGGACATGGCAAATGATTTCATTGAAGCAGCTCAAGGGACCTCTTTTCACTGTCCTTTCGTACATGGAGTCAAGCGCAGACCATGCCGTGCCCACACAGTCGAATTTTGGCACTCGCCCGCCTCACCGACTTATCGAATTAGTTGAGGTACGGAGGCTGGCAGGGTTCGACCATTTTCAGCGAATCGTTGAATTCTCTGGTTCATCAGCGACTACTGTGAGGATCCAAAAATCGACAGCGTAAGATCGGCAGCCAGCTCATCGCATGGAAGAGGGAACAAACCGAAGATCTTTTGTCGATGAACAATCTTTGCTTCGTCGACTCCGTTATCAGTTCGTCAAATGAAAATGCGATAACTGGAGGTGAGCTTATCATCAGTCTTAAGCAGCCCGCAGGTTTGCGAGGAGGTCAACGATGATGACGCCACACACAACACATTCCAAACAGCTACTCATAACTTGCTGTAAGTGAAAAGTGTAATCACGAATCTTACGATTTCTGGTTACTGTCAGAGATTTAAGCACTGGACACAACGTTGTTCTCTTCCACGTGACATAAATGATGTTTCCGATTGGCTAGTCATGACAGGTTCAAAAGCGTGATCCAAAGTGTCTTAAAACTCATTGGTTATCACAGCAGCATTCTTCGTAAGGAACTCAAAACTGTACCAATCAGTAGAGTCACTCACAATAATGTTCGACCTTACTACTATATACAATCGAAGTCACGTCATCCTATTCACGCTTTGTTGGAACATGGATACTCACGTCACCTGATTTCCCAGTCTAAATTTTCCAGCGTACATTTTGCACAAAGTTGTACAACGTGTCATTCATTCCGGATCGTCACCGCTGCTTCAAAGTACTGAAGAGTCAGCAGCTTCATGCGTTACTAGTTTTAATATTCATGTTTAAATTGTTGTTTGTGTTATGAAACATGTTTTATTATGCGTTTTTAACGTTTTTGTGTTTGTACGTAAGCCATTTGACTAATGCCCCATGATTGATGTCACAGCGATTAAATATATTTCTTTGTTTTATGCATAATTTTGTCATAGTTTCATCTACTTCTTCAGTCTTAAAGCGATTACCTAATTCTTTTGACGATTGGACAGATCTTCGTCAACAAACATTTCAAATCGCGTATTCCGCATGTAAATTTTATTCATATGCGTTAATATCGCAAAATCAGCGTATTTTGACTATTTATTTGTCACCTCATCTGCGCTTCCGATTCTTTTATTTGGCTGAAAATCAAATTCCTTTGGCGAAAGCCAAACACCTAGCTTACAAATAGGATCAGACATAGTGGCAAAAATCGAGCCGTACCTGTATGTCTACGAATACAGTCGTAAATTATTGCAAGAGATGTCATAACTGGCTTTAATAAATTATTTTTTTCTTATCCCATTGCATCGAAGACGACCCTACCTAAGAATGGACCGATTCAAGCCTGTTCACTTTTCAGTCATTTCGATCTCATGTCAGTATAACGAGATCTCCCCACATTGTTGAACGTCATCCTGGCGAACGCTGACTATCACGTTTCACGATGCGCCATCGCCCATTGGTTAGCAACGACCCAGCTATCTTGAAACCCCTTGTTTGCTGCCAGTCGCTTACTTTTATTGGATATTCTAATTTCTCACTTTCAACAGCAGTTGTCTCCAAATCTGCCACTTCACTCCTAATATTAATTTTAAACTTTTTATTTCCACTGTTTCCAGTCTTCTGTTTTCAACTCCGTTAAGTGATGCCATCTGAAAGCCACAGACAAAGATATTCAATATGCTATCGCTGTACATCCGCAGCTTTGTGCTATTCCGCGATGTTTGTCTTTCCAGAGTTTGAGTGACTTATTTCTTCATGCCAGTGCCAACGAGCGGATCTTAGCTTCGCTTGCCACTCTGCCAGCAGCCGATGTACTCCCAA